CAACTCTGTCCTCTTGGAGTTTACACTCTAATGGGGAAGAGAGATGCTCACAAAAAATAAGATACATAGGGATTCTGATAAATTTCTTTTCATTCAATTTTCCACCAACCTTTTGAAGACTTCTTGGATCTACCAACATAGTTAATAAGAAGTGCTAAGTAGAAAAAAAAAAAAGGTGGCGGTGGGTGGGTTTGAAAACGTATAGGATTGGCATAAGAAATGGATGTGTGTATAAGTTTGGATAGATTAATCAGGGAAGTCTTCCCTCGGAAAACCACTTTGGAGTTAAGATTTGTAGGAAGTGCGGGAGCAAGTCACATGAAAATAGGGAAGAGAACATTTCAGAAAGAAGCAATGGCACATGGAAAGCCTCTACGGCTGTGTTTGATGTACTCTGACTAGTTAAGAAAGCCAGAGTGACTAGAGCCCAGTGGTCCAGAGGGAGAGCTGGAAACAAAGACAGGGAGAGGGGATCAGAGAGACTTTTAGCCTGGTGAAAGAACTTGAACTCTATACTGAAGGACATGGGACAGATTTGGAAGCTGTCTTATTGAGCAAAGAAATAGCTTGGATCCTACTTAGTTTTTAACAAATGTTCTTGTTCAGGAAAGAATGCTGGGATAGGGAAAAGGGTAGGATAAATGGTGAGATAGGAGTGGTGCGAGGAGACCAATTATATGTGGGGGTTAAAAATAATCCATATACAGAGTGGTGGCTGCTTGAACCAAGATAGCATGAGTGAAGATGATGAGAAGTGATGAATCAAATATATATTTTGGAGTTTTTTCAGAAAGGATTTACTGACTAGATATGAAGTATGAGAGAAAAATAAGTATCAAGGTTAATACTAAGATTTTAGAGTTGAACAAATAGAAGAAATACATTATTTCCTGAGGTGGGGAAGATTCAAAAGTTTTAGTTTGGGTTGAGATTTATGTTGATAAGTTTTTCCATGATAAGTTTGAGGTGAATATTAGCTATCCAAGTAGGCAGGCATAAGAATATTAAGTAAGCAGTAGGATATATGAATCTGGGTGCAGGGGCGAGATATGAGTATTCAGAGAGGCTTCAGCATATAAATTTAAACTATAAGACTGGATTAGATCAACAAAGGAGTAAGTGTAAGTAGAAAATAAAGCATGCTCAAAGACCAAGCCCTGAGATACTTTGATGTTTAGAGGTCAGAAAGATAAAGTGGAATCTCAGCAAAGAAACTGAGAGTATAGCAACCTATAAGTGAGAAAAGTGTTACAACAAGAGAGTAATCAGTTTGTTAAATCTCGACAAGAAAAGAACAAAAATTAGCCCATGTGTTTGTCAGTATGGACGTGATTGATCTCGGTAGAGAGTAGCTGAGTCATTTTGGTGGAATGGTGTAGATTCGAGAAATATGGAAGAAGAAAAAATGATAATATTTAGACTAATCCTTCACAAAGTTGTTCTATAATGAAATGGGTGGCAGCTGGAAAAGAAAGAAGGTCAAGATAGGGAGTTAAATAAGAGAAGTTGCTTGTTTGGACACTGCTGGGAGTAAGCCAATAAAGTGAGGGAGGCGCGTTGCTACCAAAGAGAACGGAGAACTGCAGGTAAGTAGTTTCTCACAGGGTTCTTCCTGAGGTCAGAAGGAATGGAACCCAGAGTAGAGGAGGTGGGTTGGCCTTAACTTGGTGCACTAACAGGAGAAAAGCTGCCATGTAGGACAAAGGGCAGAGAAGGAGTAGGGGTAGTCAGGAGAACTTGGAAGGGTTCTGTTAATTGTGTCTCTTTTATCAGTGAAATAGAAAGTAAGGTTATCAGCTAGAGGAATGGGCAGAGATGGGTAATAAGGCTTGAGGAGGAAAAAGGAATAAGTATTTATCTAAGAGAATGGATAAGTGAATATAATTGGGAAATGTCATATTACTGGTAGATAGCATTATAGAGTAATGCTAAAACTGATTATAGTGACTTTAGAATGAGACCAGCGTCAGTTTGATAGTGTATTGTCCTTCACTTACATTCTGCTGGGCAAATGCAAACATGCAGTACGCAGATAAAAAGATTTAAAAAGTTTTGGGCAAAAAAATAATGATAATTTATAAATTATTAAGGGGGGGAGGAAAAGAGGGGAAAAAATGAGGAGCTGATACCAAAGGCTCAAGTAGAAAGAAAATGGTTTGAGAATGATGATGGCAACAAACGTACAAATGTGCTTGACACGGTGAATGGATGTATGGATTGTGGTAAGAGTTGTATGAACCCCCAATAAAATGATTTTAAAAAAATAATAAATAAATAAAAACCTCCTGCAACCAAAAAATAGGGGGGGGGCAGCAAAAAATCCATTAGCTTTCCATTCCATTTTTTTCATGAGTTTTTTGAATCCCTCTCTTATGTAACCAGGTAAGATTTAGCTTAGTCCAAGGAATTTCAAGAAGAGGACAGAGGTTCGAGATTGCTTGCACAGGAGTGGTTATTGTAATGGTTGACCGTGATTTTCAAGTAGAGTGAGCAAGATCAGGGAATTAAGAAGTCAGGACATTGGGAGGAAGGATCATCTGTAACAAAAATGAAGTTACCAAGGATCAAGTTCAGATCTACAGCAATGGAGCAGCAAAACCCAAGCTTCCAAGGAGTTGGGGAAGCAGCGAAGGTGACTAGACGTCTATAAAAATGAGAATAGAGTAATAGGGTGTGAAGGTGTGAGCTTCACAGTGGAGGGATGTCAAAAGAACAGAGAAGCAATTGTGTGGGTATTTGATTGAAGAACAAAGGTAATTATCCCCCTGCCCAGTGCAGCCTCATGAGGCGTGTGGAGGAGAAAATAGTCACGGGGTGAGACTGCAGGGAAAGCTGTTCATCAGGGGAGGATCACCTTGGATTTAGAGCCAAGATGAAAGGAATGTTCCCAAAGAGATTGGGGTTCTAGGAGATAATTGCTAGTGATTGACCTGGGTTTCCAGCGGCACAAGATTTCAGTGGGGGAAAGGACAGCTATAGTACATTGACATCTGAGAGATAAAGGAGACCTGAGCTGCTTGTGGCAATTGATATCTGTGAAGTATAACTTCCTGTGAAATCCAAAGTGCCCAATTCTCGATGGGCTAACCTATGAGATGCTGTATCTTAATATTCCCCTGCCACTGTTGGAGCAAACACTACTGTGGTTCCATTAACTTCCTGGATTTCCCTGGCAACTAGACAACTTTGCACTATATAGGATAGTACAAGCACCCACTTCCAGCCAGTTTTTTCTTTAATCCCTGCTTCGTGTCCTCCCAGGACTGCACATTGCTGTGCTCTAACCCTACGGAAACCTTCTTGTCCTTGTGGAGTGTGCTAGCTGTCTTGTAGTCCTTCCATTGGGGCCCATGGAGTAGGAGAGAACCAGTCAGTGAATTTCTGGTTAAAACTTCTAGCAGCAGTGTTTCCCAAGCTTGGGTGACTTTTGGACCAACTTTAACAAATATACCAGGAGCAACGAGCATCAGGCTATCTTATTATTCTGAAGAAGGTAGTTTCTCTAATGTAGATGGATTTCCCACATACAAGGACATGGCCATGCAAAGGCCCTCGAGGAGGAAGGAGGATGAGCATTCAGGAAATGTGTGTATGTGAAGGCCCTAATGAGAGAGACTTACAGGTGAGGTTCCTGCAGGTAGCGAATGCTGGAGCATGCAGGCTTGGAGTCCAGGTTAAAGATCTGGTTAGAGCAGCAGGAAGCTGAGAAACGGTAAGAAGGGAGATAAAGTGATCATGTGTGAGTTGTAAGGAAACCCCTTGTCAGTTGTGTAAAGAATGGGTTGGAGGGGAAAACTTGTAGATGTGAGCAAATACAGGCTCCTACAGAACTGTAAAGACAGACTGATGATTGCTTAGGCAGCGGTTTTCAACCTGTGGGTTGAGACCCCTTTGGGGGTCGAGCGACCCTTTCACAGGAGTCGCCCGATTCATAACAGCAGCTAAAATACAGTTATGAAATAGCAACGAAAATAACTTTATGGTTGGGGGTTACCACACCTTGAACTGTATTAAAGGGTCATGGCACTAGCAAGGTTGAGAACCACTGGCTTAGAGTAAGCGAGGCAATGGAGAAAGACAGAAATATATACATTGAATAATTTTTAGGAGGTAAAATGAGCAATACCCAGCTCTTGCTGGATGAGGAGGATTTTTAAACTTGGGAGGATCAAAGCCCCAGTCTAGCAGAGCATTGTGGATGGCAGTACAGTGAATTGAGTTGGAAACCACCAAGACCAGGGAGAGGTGAGACTGGGACGGATATATTGAGTGCATATTTAGAGAGCTGGATTTGCATCTCCTGTGAAATAACTGGAGAGAGATGTTTGCAAGCTCAGTATGTAGATCTGGATCTCAAAAGAAAGGTAGGAAATAGAGCTAAAATTTGAGCCTCCTTTGTCTGCAGATGGCAGCTGATGCTGGTTCTGATTGCACACCCCATTCAACTCATTTTATAGGAACATCGAGTAAATTCCAGTGCTTGGTACAAGCTGGATTAATAATCCTCCCCAAAACACTATATTTTCATATTTTTATACTAAAAATCATTGAGGCATAGTAAGATTATTGTCTTCTCTTTATCCTCCATCCCCTTGTTTTTTGCTTTCTTTACTTCACCTCTTCCTGTTTTCTTCGGATGCTTCTGTCTGTCTGTTTTCCGTCTTATCCACTGTGGTGGCATTGAGTGGCCGACAGCTGACATTTTGTAGGGACAAGTTGCTGTGACAGAAAAGCCTGTCTGGGATCTCTTTTCTTCTGTTTATGTTGGAGATTATATTTCGCAGTCACATATCAACTGTAACTAGGTTTGCAAGTCAAATACATAGATTTAATCAGAGTGCAGTTATTATTTATGTCTTCTTTATACAATTTTATCAGTGTTTAGAGTTTCTGAAATTATTATGCGTTAATAACTATTTCATTTGATTTTTTATTCATATTTTAATTTTAATTACTTTTCCTAATTAATGCTGATTTATTTTAATTTCCCTTGTTAATAGATTGCTGTCCTAGGTGAGACATGGACCATATTTAGACGTTACAGTCGTTTTCGAGAAATGCATAAAACATTGAAGTTAAAGTATGCAGAGGTAAGTTATGAAATAATATCAATATCATCTCTATTTTTCACCCTCTCCCTCTCTTTTTCTTTATTAGCATCTTATACATGTCATTAACTATATTTCAATTATTCATCTATTATTGATAACTTTTTAATTTTTTCTTGTTTTTCCAATTTCATTGTGTATAATTTAAGTATTTTCTAAATAAAAGTTATTGAAAGTACTATTTCAATAAATTTATATTATTTTAATATATTTTACCCTGAAATTTAAATATTTTAATCAATTTGTAATTCTCACTAGTTAAGTGAAACCAATCAAAATGATATTGTAATACATTATTCCATATAAATATGTATTTTTTCCTCATAAAAATACTAATGTTCTGACTTCTATTTAATGAGAAGCCAGGACATATGAGATATTTTTCCCTCAGACATGGAGAAAATTAGACAGTAAATATGGATTATTTAAAAGTGAGGTGGCAGTTTACACACAAAAAGAGCTTGATATCATGAAGTAAAAAGAGCTTTATATCAAGGAGTAATTCTATATCAAGAAAACATCCCAGCCCAGTCCAACTCAAGTCCATGAGTCCGGTGTTAGTCCTTACGTCCCTCTTCAGACTCATGTAGTCATAAGCAAGGATGCAGAATGCAGGAATACCGCAGGTGGGTGGGCATCGTCGTGGGGATCACAGGGCTCTGGCAGCCACCAGGGTCAGCAGTGAGAAGGTGAAGGCCTTCTCTGCCTTCACCTTCTCACTGCTGACCCTGGTGGCTGCCAGAGCCCTGTTGCTGTTCTGCATGAGCACAATCAAGTGTTCTAGATATAAGTAGTCTTTAATTTGGGAGAGAAAAGTTTACTATTAAAAAATATTTTTGAACAAAGTGTACTTAGAATGAATGTGTGCCTTTTGAGGAAATGTGTTGAAGTTGTTGATTGTTAATATTTCACTTCAGCTAAGGAAAAACTTTGCATAAGCATAACTTTTTGGGGATTTTGTATTAAATCAAATCAATCCACATATACGAATTAGCTTGTTTTCACTAAGTTTACTATTAACATTATTTTACTAATTTACTGCAGCATCTTATGAGGGGCTCGGTGATGGAGTGGGTTACTCATTGAGCTATAATCTGCAAGGTTGGCCATTTGAAACTACCATCTGCTCCTCAGGAGAAAGATGGGGCTTTCTACTTCCTTAAAGAGTTACAGTCCCAGAAACTCACAGGGGCAATTCCACCCTGTACTGCAGGGTTGCCATGAGTCAGCATCAACTCAATGGCAGGCTGTAAGTGCTGGCGTCCTATGTATGCCGTGTTTCTTCAATCACCTCATAAGTACATGCAAGCAGTCCACTGAGTAAGGAAGACTGGACAAAAACTGATGCCTTTGAATTATGCTGTTGGCAGAAAATATTGAATATACATATACTGCCAGAAAAATGAACAAATTTGTCTTGGAAGAATAGCAAGAATTCCCCTTAGAAGTATGGATGGGAACACTTGGTCTCATGTGTTCTGAATGTGTTTTTAAGAGGAATCACAATGAAAATTAGGAAGACCCTCATCAGTAAGATTTATTGATGCAGTGGCTGAAATATGGCTACGCTTAAGCCATTTGTTGCAGCTACTCTGTCAGTCCATCTCATTGAGAGCTTCCACTTTGACCCTGACCTACTCTACCAAACCAGATATCTTTTTCCAGGGACCTGGCCCTCCTCATAACATACCCGTTGTATGTGAGATGAAGTGTAGTCATCTTCACTCATGACTGTGCTTTTTCTATGGCAGATTTGTTCTAGCGTTCACAGCAGTAACAATGTTCTTTGCCAACACCTCACTCTCTACCGCATGCATTTGAGGTGATTGAAAGTACCATCGCTTGGGTCAGTTGCACCTTACTCTGCAAAGTAACGTGCTTGTTCTTCAACACGTTGTATGAAGTGCTTAACAAGGAGCTGATTAACCCTATGTAAGATACTGTTTGTGAACCATAGCAAGCAAATCATGAACAAACGGATAGGGTCATTTCGGATCATGGTAAGGACCACAGAGAAGGGAAAACATGGCAATGAGAGTGTGGCATGAGAGCAGGCAGTGGCTGCTTTAGCTAAGGTAGGCAGGGAAAGGTAACATTTGAACGGAATGTGTATTGTATATATACATGTGAAGAAGGAGCCAGGCATGAAAATAAAGATGAGAGTATATTTTGAATAGAAGAAACAGCAAAAGTCCCGGGGTGGGGCGAGGGAGTGGGGGCTCCCACTTGGCCTGTGAAAAGACCTACAGAAGTCACAGGAGTAATAGCTTAAAGGGGGAGAGAAGTCATATAGGCTCTAAAATTATGGTCCTAGTGCAGTGGAAAGTCACTGAATGATCTTAAACATGGTAACAAAATGATCTAATGTACCTTTTTTAAATTAAAAGATCATTTTACTGGGGGCTCTTATAGCTCTTATAACAATTCATACATCAATTGTATCAAGCATATTTGCACATATGTTTAATCCTTATTTCCTTTTTTTAATTTTTAAAAAATATATTGGGAACTCTTTTTAAAATTTTTTTATTAAAAACTTTTAGTGGGGGCTTTTGCATCTCTTATCACAATCCATACATTCATCCATTGTGCCATTATTATTTTCAAAGCATTTTCTTTCTACTTGAGCTCTTGGTATCAGCTCCTCAGTTTCTCCCTCCCTCCCTCC